TGAAAGTGCACAAGTTTGAATCCAACCATTAATCAGCTGGATGTACCATGGTGTTTCCCAGCACTGCCTTGGCACCAAATAACCTAGTTAGGTTTGCTTAACCCTACAGAGTCAAACCGGTTTTCATTCCCAGTTTGTTGAAACATTATTGTTTTGAAAACTGCATAGACAGACAAAATGAATACACTTGTGCAGCAATCCAGTACCCATCCGCTTACCATCATTTATTCATGTAACTGAATTTTCTTATGCTTCTAAATACTTTTCATTGGCAAACAGAACACAAAGACAATAATAATATTGCATTTTTATTAGAGGAAACAATGTATTATTTTCTTTACAACACAGATTAAATATAGTAACCCAAAATCTCTTAGACAAGTGAGCTAGAAAAACTGTAAACCATTGGACTCATAAATTCTAATGGAATAATTTACAAAATAGAAGGAAAAAGAACCCCTCTCTCAAAAAAACAAAAATCTGGGTACACAATTCAACCATTATTATAACACTTTGTACCCTTAACCTTAACAAATAATTCACATGATATGGAGGCTGAGCTTTAGGATTGCCTGAGATACTGTAGTGCATGTAGATAAAGGTGAAATACATTATTATAATATTCATTTTAAATTTCTACCAGGTTCAGATGATGCATTCATTCAAACAATATAATAAATGGCACAGAATTATAACTTTTCAGAAAAACAGCAATTTTAGGCTAAATGAACATGATTGCTGCATGCTATAGAAATAAAAGTAATTTCTGAATCTCTGTGTGTAATGACTCCCTTTAGTCACTGAAGATAACTGTGGATCACAGAATTTAACAGTGATAACAGCATCATCTCTTCTACAATCAACAGGGGCCAAATATCACAGTGGAATCCACATAGTGCAGCCATAAAGATACCAAAAAATGAACAGAATCTGGCAGATACAATTTTAAATTAATCATTATTTTCATCATCAAACCTAAAAGTATAAGATGTGAAGCATCTGCAAGTATTTAGGTGATATTGGCATGATTCTGGAATATAAGGAGATGAATGAGACAGGGTCCACCATTTAAAGTCTGATGTATTGAGCGGACAAATCTTTACTTCCAGAAATTGTTCATATTAAGATTTTTTTCTTCAAAATTGTGGAGATCTGTAAAACTGCATACAAAAACACATACCAAATTCCATTAGTCTTCTTCACAAGGTTTCTGTCAATTTGTGAAATTATTCACTTCTTTTGTATCCTTGTACATTGATATTTCTTTGGAAAGTATTTACTTACATGCCCTAACAAGTACATATTGCAAAGTCTGTATTAAAATATGTGGACATTTTTAGATGAGATCAACCTAAAGGTGTTATCCAATACAATCCGGATTAAATGTCGCGTGCAGGATGTTATAATGAAAGCTATGCCTATTGATAAATTAATGCTACCCTATACTAAGATGATTAAGACAAAAAAAAAAGCTCTTTTCTTGCCCCAGTTTAGGACCTGGCCACAATTGTAAAAGTCCATAGCGATCGATAATTTTCATCTGAAATTTTCTTGATGATAGTTAAGGTATAGAGCATTCAATAATTAGGATTGAATAGAATTTGGTTGAACAAAATTAGTATTAAATTTAAAAACAATTTATATTTAACTAACAAAGACTTAAATGCACATACATGACCTGTATTCCTTTTACTATAAGAAAAGTCAATGTAGTGCCTTGAAAATACAACTAGGTCATCTACAAATACAAATATGTCTACCAAATTACATTTGTCAAAAACAAGTACTCTTTGCATAATTGAGCTAACAAGGTTTTTGTAAAGTAAAACAAGTCCATGCCCAAAATAGTTTAAATAAAGCATAAAATACTGAAAAATTGTGTTATTGCACGAAAATATATTTAGGTCATGTATTCATGTCTATGATAAAGTGTTTGAAATCTCATGGCTGTAAGTCTAATAAGCCATTTTGTGACAATGCTGATCACGATAGTATAATTTGATGGATAGGATATTATGTAGACATAAATGAGCACTTTCAAATATTTTAATTCCTATTTCTGACATAATTTTTATACTCTGCCAAGATATCTTAATAAAATCTGGAGTAAGTAAAATGAATAATTTGTTTTGTTTAAAACAAACCAACCAAAACCATTTCAAGTGTTATAAGTCTAAACTCTTAAAATAAGTAACAGAAAAGAGTGAAGACAACAAGTTTTGTAAAATTTAACAAATAATTTCACTAGAATAGAAAGTGAAAAATGAGAAGAAAGAACTTATGGTTTTGCAAATTAAATCCAAAAATAATCCAAGAATGAAAGGCACAAGTCCTAGTAATAAAAAGTCCTGAATAAAACTCAGTTCAAGTCCCAAAGAGATTTAAAATTGAAGGTAATGATGTGACTGTTATGGCCTTGTCATACTGATGTTCAAACAGTTTCTTGATGAATCATATAATTATTTTTCCAGGTTTGAATTCAGTATCAAGTCCAATGAATGTCTTTATCCGAGAATTTTGTCAGAACACTCTTTCATTTAAAGAGAAAATCACTTGAAATCAATAATTTGAAGAAAGTAAAATTCAGCCCAAGCTGGACACAACATAATACAACTCAAGTGCCATATGTTTAAGCAAAACTGGTGAAATTCTGACAGTCACAGGATCATGCAGTTCTCTGTTTGACCTCAGGTCACAAATTAGTATTTTCTAAAAACAACCAGTACCTAATGGAAAATGACTTTCTAGCATGATTTCATAAGCCTTATTTATTTAAAATATAATACCCTATAAAATTCACTTTGGAATCCCCCCAAAAGCTGACCCAAATCAATATGTTTTTATTTGAGTAATAATTTGGTCAATCAATTGTTACCCATTGAGGATAATGAAGATGTTATTAGTTGTTTACATCAATGAAAGAATTTTTTTTAAAAAAAAAAGTCAATCGGGTCAAAAAGAACTGAACTCGATTCTGAACAAGGCCAAGTCCAGTAAACAATGTTACATTACAATAGCCTGTAATGGAATGTAAAAAAAATTAAAACTAAGACAAACAATTAAATTAAATATACATAACACAAGCACAGAGTGAAAAGAGTACAACATAATGCCCATTTAAAGATACCATAAACAATGGAGTTACCCTGTTGCAGCTGGAATATTTTCTTTAATTTTTTTTTTTTAAATGTGACCCAAAAATTTACTTTTAAAATAAATCAACTTAACAAAACATTTAAATAATTATCTCATGTGATGACATACAGATAGATCTGTGTGTCCATACTACAGGTTTTTCTACAAGGCACTTTCACTTATAAATTAGTGTTTAATATACAGATTTTGTATTGTATATTGTTCTTTGTACGGACATCATAAGCCTTACATTATCAACTCAAATGGCTCTTTCTTTCTTTACTCAACAGTTAAAAGCTTTAATTTTAAAACTTTGCCTGATTTGAGCTACATATTAAGTATTTTAACTTAAGTCATAGCAGAAAAAGAAGCATCTGATGATGTTATCTACAGATGACCAACACAGATCTGAACATCTATTGTTAGAAAAGAAAATAAAGTATCAAGGCATTTTCAATGTAACATAAAAATGTTAACTGTTGATTATATGCCATGGGTAAAAATGTAGCTTTGCACAAGTTGAAAAAATATATCCTGAATGAAATCAGGGGCTTTTATGGAGTTTACTGGAGGCAACATCAGAAAAACCTATGTCTGTATTTCAATTTAAGTATGAAACCAGTGTAAATACATCAGCATGTCAATGACAACTGTAAATGTACTAAATTTATCTGAAAAAACAGTTTTGTTAGATGATCTATTAAGAACAACTAGACTTCTCTTAAACCAATAAAAAAAGTGTTACATAATGTCATAATATTAAAGAACCTGTGTTGAAAAATTTGTTTATCTTGGCATGAAAGGTGATCTGTCAAGGCAGGATTCAGTATATTTGATAGGGTAAATATCTTCCATACCTTAAAAATATTTTATTACTCATTAATTATTAGCATGTAGTTCAGTTAAAATAAAATTTAAAATAACACCCAAAACCTAATACTGTACTCAGGCCAGTTCATTTAAACATACATGGTAGCTTGGGAAGGCAGGTTTAATTTTTTTACAAATATATGTCAGGGTATTTTGACTGCACAGAGTTCATAATAAAATGAAAAGAAAATTCTGTATTGCATCTATGGGTGTGTACCCCACATCAGAAGTGCATTCCCTGGCTCCCATATCATATTGGCTAGCTTTATGAATAAGTGATGCACATTTCAATAGCAACATATTTCACACATTTAGCTACTATGATATATGACATTTCTCCAAAGTGGACTATATGCCCCTGGATTAAAACTATATAGAATACAGTAAAACAAGCTTGCTTTGTCATAATCAATAACCATTTATTAATATTATTATTATTATTATTATTATTATTATTATTATTATTATTATTATTATTATTAACATTCTAAAATAATCTACTATTCTGAATGAAGTATTTTAAATGAAATAAAAAATATATTTTGGCTTTTCCTTCAAATTTTATCTCAAATTTGGGAAAGTATTATCAGTAAATTTTACATTTACAGCTTTAGCAAAATTTTAAAATTATCTTGCTATAGACAAGGGATTTCACCAGCTCTTCGTTGTAAAAAAATATGAAAGCATCTTTTGATAAATGTCTTGCCATTTTGCCCAGAACATTGTCCACAACATTAACGAAGCAGTTACTGTGACCCACTTTGTGTGTGATTTGGATTTTTAACATAGCTTTAACAATTTTTCAGTCATATGCTATGATGTCTGCAGTGTGGCAGGTTATGGCGATGTCTAGCACTGAAGCATCATGCTACAGACATGTAGCATAATGTTCCACCCAGTCACATTATCCTGACACAGGAATGACCAGTCGTAACACTAACCTCTTAATGCTGAGTGCCTAGTGAGGCAGCTGTTAGTAGCATTTTTGTAAGTCTTTGTTATGACTTGGCTGGGGTTAGAACCCATGACCAACCTCATCCAAAGCAGATGCTCTAACCACTAAGCCACTGAAGTGGTTCAATAAAAAGTATTTGTCAAAATAAATGAATATGTGCAAGCCAAAATATCAAATGACTTGATGTAAACCAAAACTTGATTATAAATTTCACATCTGCTTTCTAAATAAGAAATGCGCAAAATGTGTCACTGCTTATTTCCAATGCATGTACAGGATTGTACATTTTTAAGTCTAAGATACCTCTCATTAAAAACAGAAGCTAAACTCTACAGGGGCAAGTTAAAACACATTTATCTTCACCAAAAACTTAAATGATCATATGTCCAAACACAATACAAACACTTAAATATCTACTCAAATTACTGTGAACCACTATATTCATAGGTATCAAATGTTACTGTCTGGAAAGGAAAATGTATTCATGGGTTCTTACTTTAATGGATTTCTCAACAAAGCATCATAAAATACTGAGTGACACTGTATATAAAAAAATTTTTTTATTAACTTCTGTTCATTTCTAAGCAGAAGGGCTGATTAGGTAAGTTATTCGTTGCTAACGCTTAGCATAAATACACATACCTAAAGCAAAGAAGCTACATCCTTTTGTACGCATGTAGAAGCTTAATTTTACTGCTGACAGAGTGGTCAAACTGCCATATTTCATGGAGGGTTATGTTTTCAAGCAACCAATATTATGTACTTCACCACCTTTGATAATCTCAATAATTCCATTAATTTTGGAGTTACATTTCTCTGAACACATGTACAAAAGTTTCTCCTTTTGTTCAATTTATTTTTTTAGAAATATTAAAACTAGACACTAGAAATATTGGGTGCAGCCAAGACAGTATTTACTTAAATGGACTGTTCTAGAATTCAGAAGTGTGCTTGTTTACATTGAGAACTACCATTTGGCTTTAAATGCCAATAAATTGACGGTGTTAGGGTCCCCTAAGTGATAGGTTAGAAATTAAAAATTTATTAATGAAATGACAAAGTGTTGTGTATTTAGCCTATCCCTAATGCTTTTTTTTTAAAACTGGTATAGAGGATACACACAATGGAGAAGAAGTACAAATACTGAACATGAATTTCACCAACTTTTGCAGGCAACACAAAAAACCTGACAGACATGGGGCCAGCCCATGATGTCAATAAACAGGAAATCTTGTTCAAGAGACAATGACTAGTTTCTTCACAATGCTGAATCAAATGTAACAATATGGCAGCTAAATGTTCTAAAGAATCTGAGCTTTTGGAATCTAAACTATGCAGATTCTCTTGCTACTATCTGTCTCGCAGGACATTAAATACATCCTCTTCTTCTTCAGATGACTCTATATTGGGACTGCCATCTTTTGTCAACATTTCAATTTTCTCTTCTGGATTATGGATGTTCCCATTCGCAGACTCTTCACCTGTAGGAGGGGATAAGAGCACTGTATACAAGGCAGACAAAACAATAACATGGAACATTTTTAAAAATATTATATGAAATTGAATAATGCAAAAGAAATCGCTGAAGACATTTGAAAAACTCAGGAGTTTGCTTGTTATCACTTGCTTCTAAGGTAATAAAGTAAATGTTATTTAACAGTAAATTTATTTAACTCGCTCATGAAAGTTAACAGAGTCCTTTACATTTATAACAAACAACAGATAGATGACAGTGAGTTAAATAAATAAATAAGTGGATAAAAAGATTGATGAACAGACAAGCAGATATACATTCTGAAGAAGAGTTAGAACTCACCATGCACTGCTTTCAGAATAACATGGACTGCTATTCCAAAAAGACAGACAACAAGACCAGCAGAGTTTACAAGACTCATTTTATCCCCATTTATGAAAACAGCAAGTAGAAGTGTACATAGTTCCTGGAAAACAAACATTACTATTTAAAGAAACATTTTTACAATGTGTACTTGAGTCTGTATAAATCAGTGTACAATGATTATACATGGTTGTCTGTATAAAGTGTACAATAAAGATTTTACATGGTTGTCTGTATAAAGTGTACAATAAAGATTATACATGGTTGTCTGCATAAAGTGTACAATGAAGATTAAACATGGTTGTCTGTAGTCTGTGCACAGATGACTTGAGTATGCCACATTTTATTCAAATTTCAAAACTTTATTTTTCACTGATTGAGAAAAAAACTTGATTTATATAATTAATGCATTAATTCAGCACTTACTTTATAGTCCTGTAGAATGTTATGAATAATTGTAACAATACCACAGTGGATATAATACCTACACATAATGCATGCACTCTTTTTGGTCAAAACATACACCAAAGGTCACTACTGATTCTCATTTTCAGCATGCCTCAGAGCAAAACAGCCAGTAACAGCATGAAGACTCAAGATGTCTGCAGGCAATGTCTTTTAGGGCACCTCTACTTTGCTATAGAGATTTTATTTTAGTTGCTGACCTCACACCTCCATCCAACCCCTAATCTAAATATAAATATTGTGAAGAACTACCCCATTACATTAGGGTGAAGATGAAATTCAAAGAAAATTTCAGCTGCAAAAAAAGGTTCCCTAAAAAAAACTTTTAATGGTGCTTGGGCAATTGCCCCATCCTAACTCGTTTCTAAAGCCAACAATGGAAACAGCAGGTAAAATTTTATAGGCCAAATAAGGATGTTTATATGGAACACAGCCACAGCTGATGCAGAAATTAAAAATGGAGCTGACAAGCTCAAGAACAATGATTCATGATAAGATGAAAGAGTCAAGATAAAAGGTATCCCACTGACCATGTCCAGTTCAGATGACAATGACCAGTCTTTGAAAATGTCGGCTATGTATCTATAATCTTTGACACACACATACATCGGTAGAACTTACCTTAAATATACCAGATATGGATAGCGTTAAACTTGAAGTTTGTGACACAAGGAGAAATTCACTGAACTCTAGCATGAATGCTAAAAAGGCTCCGATTAAGACAAGTCCAAGGTTCTCCATTAATACATGTAATTCACTAAATGCAAAAAAATGGCCACTGGTTGCTAGGTCCAAACCTGAAAGTAAAATATAAGATATACTATGATGTAACAATAATTCCAACATCTATTAATGAGAAGTCATCAACAAAGCAGCATTATCCCCATACTAAATATCAATAGCCCCAAAGTTCATAAAGACATTAAGACAAACACCTCTGTACACTTTAGAGTTACACCCCTTTAGAATCAAGAACATCTTATCTCTGATTCCAATATATACAAATCTTCACCTGTTTTTGCTTTAAGCTAGCACTGTAAGCACTAAACTATGCTTTTGAAAAACCAATATTTTTCTAGTAAAGTGGACAACAGCAACTTCTGCAATCTTCTCTCAAATTTGTTGTCACTTGTGTCCAAAGTGGAATCTGTCATGGGAGATAATATGGCTGAATAAGACATCATTTGAATTGCTCTTAATACTTAATTTGGTTTATGTCTCACATAAGACCTACGTCCTACTCACCCTAGTGACAGCAGGCATAAATGCCTTGGTGGTTGACCAAACTACTTAAAGCTTGGATTTTTATGGCCTTTACTTTCATTGGACTCATCCTCTCAAGTTTATCTACAGGACCTTCTGAAAGCTCTGAAGTGGTACCAGAAAAAAACTGTGCTAATGCATTGAGGAAAAATCAATGTATTCTTACTCAAAGACAGGTGGTCTCTCATAACAGGTGTGTGAAAATGGACTGGTTTCCAGGGGTCAAAAGTTAGCATTGTTGAAGAAGAAAAAAAATACCCATTCTCACTGTACATGTATCATATCCTTTTTTCATAAATCTTGTTAAATATTGCATGTATTCCTCTCAACATAACTTGATAACGATATACAGTGTACATCTATCAGTGTGAATCAAATGTCCATCTGAAAAAGTGGTTAATTTTACTGCAATTCACATGACTTCAGCACTATAATGGCAGTTAGTGCCATGTACTTTAGTCAGGTTTACTACAATTTACAAATGACACCATATGCTAGACTTGTAAATTTCACAAAACTGGTAGCAGTCAAACTTTTTAAAAAATAGCATATTAAAACAATCTTTACTATTTATACAGTTGTTGATACATAGGATTAAATGATAGTGGTATTTATCTTGCTGTATAGTTGTTCAACTGTAGTGTTATTTAATGTGCATTTTGCTTGCATACTACACATATTCTGATCTCTCATGTTTACAAAGCATTAAGACATGGTCAGTGGTGTTGAACTGTTTTTTGCATTGAGGTCATTCATAGATAGCAGTGTTAAAATGCATATTTTGCCAAGAAACTGTGCTTGCTGGTTTCGTTCAGCAGATATTCGCTCATAACAGAGCATTTATATAATAAAATTAATCCATGCATTATGATTGTGGTTGGAAATGACAGATGGTCGATCAGAACAGAGGTCACTAATGACAGTTTTTACTGTAATTGGTCCATGCTTTAGATGTGAGAGACATGATCAGAACTGTTATGATTTGATCTCAATCACATTCAAATGTAGCCAATAAATATGACCAGCTGTCAAACACTTGTGGTATCAGGTCTATTGGTTCTGCTGAAAGACATATTGTGGAAGTGAGAGTGGAGCAGTTGTAGCTGAGATAACTTGATGGTGCTATTCATCAAAAGGCAAATCATTCACCTAAGTGACATTAGCATGTATACAGAGAACATTCTCATCCCTCATGAAGCATTTCTGCATATTCCTCTTTTTTTTCCCCATCAGTACTGCAGCCACCGACTTTCAGACCACTAGGTACATAACTGACATTTATTCATTGTCAACCTGTACAGGTAAGACATATAGAATGGGTGCTCAGATGTACAACCATTTTGTACAGTTTTTTTGCATATAAAAGTTTGTTTTTAAAAATACTGTTAAAATTTTTGTTTGGTTGTAAATCTTGGTAGTCTGGATGTAATTTTTTTAAATCGAGCATGATCCAGAATCTTTATTAGCTATGCACAAGAAAAAAGTAAATATATATTGTAGGAAGTCCCTGAATGCTGACATACAACATTTTTACAGCATAAAATAAACACT